CATCATCATCGGGACACCATCATCACCATCATCATCATCATCATCATCATTTGCATCATCATCATCCCATCATCATCAGCATCATCATCATCAGCATCGGGACACCATCATCGTCATCATCACTATCATCACCATCATCATCATCATCATCGGGACACCATCATCATCAACAACATCATCATCATCAGCATCATTTTCATCATCATCATCATCATCATCATCATCATCATCATCATCGTAATCATCATCACCACCATCATCATCATCATCATCATCACCATCATCGGGACAACGACGGGACACCGGCGGGACACCAACGGGACACCGGCCCCCCGAAGGGAGTCATTTGGTCCGACCGCGCCTCAGCAGGAGGCGGGACACCGCGGGCCACCGGTTGCCGGAAAGGAGTCATTTGGTCCAGCCGCGCCTCAGCCACAGGAGACTTCCCTGTCGCCCGCCCACGCAGTTTCGCCTCGTGTATGTATGTATGTATGTATGTATGTATGTATGTATGTATGTATGCATGTGTATATCTATATGTCCCGATATATACATTTATATATATATATATATGTATATATATATATATATATATATATCGGAGGTTGGGGGGTGAGATCGAAGTGGAACGGAGAGCCCCCCTACCGGGAAATCGATTTCGGTTTCGTGTTCGTGCGTGCCGTGCGGGCGAGGCGAAGCTGCGTGGGCGGGCGAGAGAAAGTCTCCCGTGGCTGAGGCGCGGCCGGACCAAATGTCTCCCTTCCGGGCGGCCGGGGGCCCGCGGTGTTCCGCCGGTGTCCCGCTGGTGTCCCGTGTGGCTGAGGCGCGGCCGGACCAAATGACTCCCTTCCGGGCGGCCGGGGCCCCGCGGTGTCCCGCCGGTGTCCCGCGGTGTCCCGCGGTGTCCCGCGGTGTCCCGCGGTGTCCCGCGGTGTCCCGCCGGTGTCCCGCCGGTGTCCCGCGGTGTCCCGCGAGGATGATGATGAGATGATGATGATGATGATGATGATGATGATGATGATGATGATGATGATGATGATGATGATGATGATGATGATGATGAGGTGATGGTGATGGTGATGGTGATGGTTGATGATGATGATGATGATGATGAGATGATGATGATGATGATGATGATGATGGTGTCCTGATGAAGATGATGTTGATGATGGTGTCGATGATGATGATAGTGTCCCGATGATGGGGATCATGATGCTCATGATGATTATGTTGATGATGACGATGATGGTGTTTCGATGATGATGATGATGATGATTCCGATGATGTTGGTGATGATGATGATGATGTTGATGGAAATGGTGTCCCGGCGATAATGATGTTGATGATGATGTTGATGATTATGGTGTCCCGATGATGATGCTGATGATGATGATGAGATGATGATGATGATGATGGTGATGCTGATGGTGTCCCGATGTTTATAATAATGATAATGACGATGTTGATGATGATGTTGCTCATGATGATGATGGTGCCCCAATGATGATGTTGTTGTTGATGATGATGCCGATGATGATGCGATGATCATGATGATGATGGTGTCCCGAGGATGATGACGATGTTGATGATAATGTGGATGGTGAAAACGATTGTGATCATGATGGGGTCCCGATTATGATGATGATTCTGATGATGCTGCTGATGATCATGACGATGACTGCGCCCAAATGATGGTGACGATGATGTTGATGATGATATGATGATGATGATGTTGTCCCGATGATGATGCTGACGTTGATGATGATGTGTATGATGATGATGATGATGATGCCTTCATGATGATGACGATGTTGGTGATGACGTTGATGTTGATGTTGATGATGCTGATGATGATGATGATGATGATTTACGATGATGATGTTGATTGTGAGAGCGATTGTGATTTCGATAGTGAGATCGATATTGAGACCGAATGCGAGATCGATTGTGTGATCGATTGTGAGATCGATTGTGAGATCAATTGTGAGATCGATCGAATGAGATAGATCGAGTGATATCGATAGTGAGATCGATCGAGTGAGATCGATCGAGCGAGACCGGTAGTGAGATCGATACTGAGATCGATAGTGAGACCGATCGAGTGAGACGTTGGTTCCCCCCCCCGAACCTCCTTATCACCCGAAGGGTGGTCGTATAGGTATATATATATATATATACATACATGTATTTACACGTGCATACATACATTGGCACGCGCGTAGTGAAGTCGGCCGTCGGCCGCGTCTCCACGCGGCCACTTGGTCTTCGTGGAAAGGCGCCTCGGGCTGGCACGCGCAGGGCCACGCGACTGCCTGCGCCACGAGCAGCAGGAGCTCGCCCCCCTGGACAGCTGCTGCGACGAGGTCCGGGCGCCGGCCGACCGCTTCCGCGTCAGTTTCAAGTCCAGCGCGGGCCACCTCCCGGAGACGCGGCGCCCGGCCCCCCCGGCCCCGCCCCGCCGGGGGGGCGAGAATCGCCCCCCCACCGCCCTACCTGGGCCCAGGAGCGGGTTGGAAATCTGCGAATCTGGTCGCCGTGCCCCTCCCCGCCGCCAGCCCTGTCCGCCGCCGAGGCGCGAGCGCCGCGGGCGCGCTGCCGGGCGCGCGCGACCGCGCGCGAGCCGGCGGAGCGAGGGGCTGACCGAGGGCCGCCGCGGCGGCGCGCGTGCCGCGAGGAAACTTGGCCCTGGAAGGGTTCGGCCGAGGATGACCGCCAGGGCCCAGGGCCCGCTTCCCTCAGGGCACGTCTTCGCCGCGGTGACAGCGCCCGCCCGGGCGCGGACCGCCGGCCTTGCCAGGGGCGGACGCAAGAGGTGAAAAGAGTAGGGGGGTTGCGCAGTCTGCCGCGTGCCGCCGCGCCCCGCCGAAGGGCCCCTTCGTCGATGCAGGGTCGCTTTCGGCGACAGGAGAACCAGCGAATTACGCGAGCCAGTTCGCTGACCCCCCCGTTGCTAGCGCCCGCGATTTCGTCCGGCCCGCCGCGCTGGCGGGCCAGCGAGCCAGCCGGCGCCTTCCTGGCTTTGTCCGAGCAAAGGCCAAGTGTCGGGCGCGATCGAAGCGGGCGCGAAATGCGTGGCCCTCGCCACGGAAGTTGTTAGTTCGATGCAACGAGCCCGCTGCCCAACAGCGGCCGCTGTCAATTTCGGCGAAAATTTACCTGTGGATTTCGTGCCCATTATTCCCGCGGCCCTGTCTGGCGCGCCAGGCCCCGCTGTGCGCTTGGCTAGCTCGCCATTTTGGACTCGCTGCTGGGCGCCGCGGTGGGCGCATGTCCTGCGAGAGGCGGCCCCTGGCAGGGTCCTGCTTTTTGACGGGCCGAACAACCACCGAGGAGGCCCTGGCGGGAACTCCACGGTTGGGGCCCGTTTCCTCCAGGGCCATTTTCCACAGCGGCGACGGGAGCCCTGCTCGAGTGCGAAGCAGGAGAATACCGCAGCGGCGGCCACGGCGACGGCCCTTGCCTCGACCGCCCTTGCCCTCCGATCCCCCCCAGTCCGTGGCGATTTTGGCTCGGGCGCCCCGCTGCAGCGGAGGCGCTGCTGCCCCTGTCGCCTTTGTGCTGGCGGCCGGGCGTCGGCGCAAATCTCAAGCAGTGGCGAAGCGTCCTGGCTCGCCTATAGCCCGACCAAACAATGTTCTAAGAACCTTTCGTGCGTTCTTAGAACATTTCTGGCGGAGTCTGTCCTGTTTTAACACATCGGGCTGATGTTCTAAGAGCATTGTTTTTGTTCCTAGAACATTTCTGGGTTCTAAGAACATTTCGTGGTAGGGCTATAGGAATGCTGGGACGGTCGGTCCTTGCTTAATAATCGCCGTCGCCGCCGCGCGCTTCCATTCTCCGCCGCCGTCGCCGCGGGCGCCCTCCCCGCGATTCGCCGAGTTGGGGGCCATTTTGTAATCGCGCGCCTTTTGTTCAGCCGAACCTTCGCGCACTGACGTTATGGTGGGTGCGTTGAAACGGGTGGCTCCATCGTGCGACCGTTGCCGCGAAGAGCGTTCAGAAAAGGTGCACCGATGTGGGCCGATGCCGCCAGGCGACCGTTGACAGCGGGGTTTTCGGTGGAGTTCCCTACGGGGCCACGACGCGTGTGACCGATATCGGCCTGAGGTGGCATGGTACCGTTGCCACCGATGAGGCCATCGGTGGACTATGGGGCTACGAAGTGCGCGGTGCCCGAATGTGCCGAGGCGGCACGCGACCGTTGCCAGTGAGGCCTCGCGTGGAATCCCCCGCGGGGCCGCGAATCGCGCGAGTGGCGCGCCAGAATATGCCGAGATGGAGGAGAGGAGGGGGTGCGTGATACGCCTGCAGCAAAAGCTTGGATGTGATATCGAAGCAGTCGAATCAAATACATCACATTCAGCGCGATCGCTTCGATAAAGACGACGGAGTGGGGGAATTCATTTGGAAATCGCCATCCCAATCTTCGGCAGCACGGTATCACACGTTTTGCATTTAGCGCAATCGCCTCGATAACCAAACGGGCACGGGGTAAGTAAGTGACGAACGTGGCACGGGGGAAATTCATTGTATACCACATAGTGTAATATGTGTTGCAGCTAAGAGGGTGTATGTATGTTTATCCACGAACCGTCATATAAGTATGACGCGCATCAATTTTCACGTGTTTTAACACGGTTTGCCGTAATTTTTGCTCTTCTGGGTTGTGGTTGGCTGTGGGGTTGTCTTTGCTTGTTATTTGGCATCGGTATCCTTTTTGGTTTTCCTTTGTCTTTTATTTTCTGTGGGCGATGTTTGGTTTATGGTTTGGCTTGGGTGGTAGATTATTTGGGTGTTTACTGTTGAGTGGGGTGCTGTTTGGTTTTGTTGTCTTTGTTATATTTTCTTGCTGCATTTTGATTGTTGGTTGTTGGGCATGTCGGTAGTTATAGAGCCATCCTGATAGGGGTTTTTTTTCATATTTTCTCTTTTTTTTTTTTTTTTTTTATATTTTTTTTTTTTTAGTTTTTTTTTTTTGTTTTTTTTTTTTTTGCTGGGCATGTCGGTAGAGCCATCCTGATAAGGGGTCTAGCACCCCGTCGTCGTTCTTAGACGAAGAACCTCCCAGGAATTGCCTCTTGAGCCATGCAGACGTTGCGACCCACCGCGGAGCGACTCGGCTTGGTACCGCATGTGTGGACCGATTGCTTCGAGGTCGGCGGCATCTACGACTCAGGTGGCACCCTGAGCCGCGGCCTGACCCGCTCCGAGATGCAGGAGCACGGTGTCCCCTCCAGCTTCGCACAGGCAGCTCTTTTCCATATAGTCCTGGCTGGCCTCGACAGGCCTGCCCCCTGAGTAGTCCAGGGCGGCTCCAATCCCCGAGACCCAGGCGTTGCGTCTGTCTCCCACGATAGGCGTTTTCAAACGGTTCCGGGCCCCAGTCCCCGTCTGGCTCGAAAAATGCAGTTTGATTATGGGGCCCGGGGTTTTTGTCGCGATTCAGTTCACGATGTTGCAATTTGTCGCGCCGTCGGATCTCAGGGTGGGTGTTGAGACCGCCCTGGGTTCCTCGGGTGGGGGACATCTTGAGGCCAGAGCGGGCCAGCTGGAGGGAGGCTGCTTGTGTCCAGCCCGAAGCCTTACAGTCAGAGCGCGTAGTAATGATAAGCGAGTTTCCAAGGTTACCTTTGCATCCTTGCCCCTTCGGCCCAATAGCTACTTTCACTCGCAAAGCAAAACTTCAACATGGCCTTCAAGGCCATTGCATCTTTATGGCGCACTACTGCGTTTTCACTGTACCAGTTCAGGAGCAGCTGCCCGGCTGCGCTTTGCCGAGGGACGTGACCGAATTGGGCTGGTACCGGCTCGGCGGCCGCGAGTCTGCAGAGCAGGCGGCCGGGCGCGCCGAGTCATGCGCGGCACGGCTCCGGGCCTTGGCGGCATCCTGCGCCGAGCGCCCCACAGGCATTCAGAGGTAGAAGAGGTACTGATACCGTTCCCTTCCATTCGGAAGTTTGCTTTAGTAGTTTTCTGCGTGTTCGTATGTCGTTCGTCGTTTTCGGCGTCTGGGGGCCAGGCCCCGGGACCGTTAACGCAATGATCCAGGACCAAAAACCTGCCAGTGGGAAGTGGTCCAGAGCTTTGGAGGCACGTCGGTGGAGGAAGAATACCAATACCGCCACCCTCCCCACTTCCTATTGCCACCCATCCCACTTTGGTCCTTTTTTGGCCTCCTGAGAGGCCCTCGTCGCCACGGCAGGATTTGCCTCCGAATCTTGGCCAGAGCGCGCCCTTGGAAAAGTCCAGGTCGGCATCGGTATATGTGTGTTCCGCCAGTGGCTCGATGGTGAGCTTTTTTGTCCACGCCGATGCCGCCGATGCATCGGCGACGCCCCCAATGCATCGGCGACGCGGCGCGATGTTCCGACGCCGCGCGCGTGCTCGTACCCTCGCGTGGGGGGCCCCGCTGCAGGCACGGTCGCGCTGCTCTCGCACCACGACTTCCTCAGCCTGCTGCTGCGGGCGCTGCTGCTCACGCGGGGCGGCGGCGGCTTCCCGCACGCGAACACGGGCATGACGTGCGTGGACGTCAGTATCGCTTCACCGATCCCCATCCCCGTCCCGAGCCCCACCATCTCGCCACCCCAGATGGGGATACCTATGACCCTCGAAACCCGGAGGGAGCAGCCCATGTCCCCATCTAGGGTGGCACATCTGCCAGTGCGGGCCAGGCCACACCAGTGGGGATGAAGTCGGGGTTGTCCCCTCTACAGGAGGAATACCCATTGAAAAAAAGAAGTCAGGGGACGACTTGTCGACTGGTTTGACTATTTCTGCATAGTTTTGGAGGACGCTTTTTTCGTGTCCAAGATCCGCCTGTAGGGGGACGTGCCCGACCTCGGGGTGGGGAGCGGTTCGACGATGCTCGGAGGACGTTGGCCTCGACGGCCGCTGTGCCGTGGTCTTCCAGAACTTTTCGGGCCACCTGCGCGGGGGGCGCGCAGCCGCCGAGGGCGGCGCGCCGCCGGGCCCCGCGCAGACCCCGGGCGCCCCGCGGCTGTGACGGAAAGGGCGCCCCCTCGGATTGCTCTGGGGCATGCTGCGAGCAGGGGATCGACCAATGGCAGAATGTCAGAGGAGGAGAAGGTGCCCATATCTCTACACCCTTCCCTCATTTTCCTCTTTTTGGACCTCCTGGGCGGCCCTCGTCGCCACCGCTGGATTCGCCTCGACATCCTGGTCAGGATGCACCCCGGGAGAGGTCCAGGGAGTAGCGGTATCGGTACCTTTTGGTTTCCCCAGAATGGATTTGCCTCAAAATTGATGTTCCCGTCGAGGCCACGAAAAAGAGTTGCACACGATGCTCCACAGATCTGCGGAGCATGCGACGCATGTCCCGCGGATCCGCGGAGCGAGCAAGGCTGGGGTAAAGCAGTTCTTGAGTCGATCCCCGTCTCGACTCCTGGAGGCCTCTCGTCGCCGCGGTTGGAGCCGCATCGAGGAAGATATGTCAGGGCTGCACCCTGGGAGGAGTCTAGGGACCGATTCTGAGCCGATGGGAAGGAGGGCCAACGTTGTAGTCTCGGCTCGCCCTCTGTGTGTGAAGTCCGCTCATATCACCATTATATCTTTATCTACCGCCGACGTCTCGGCTCAGGTACTGGTATCGGTACAGCGCCGCCCGTCCGCGGCGCATGGGAAAAGGGCTCGCGACCTTCTCCCTTACCTTCCCCTACCTACGGGAAATTTAGTAGGTTCATCCCACGGCCCAGATTCATCCCCGACCACCGCCTGGGGGTGGGGGGGACGACCTTCGGGGACCTCGGCAGGCGGTGGGTTCAGAGTGAGGGGGCCGAGCGGTCATTCGCTGTCCCTGGGCGCGTGGCTGAAGTGGGGCTCCGCGGTGCGGATTGTGGTTGCGTTGTTGCGCTGTTGCGTTGAATTTTGATTTCGCAGAGATACGCAATTTTTGGTGAACCCCCGCTCTTCGGCGCACACTGTTTTTTAACTCCAGTGCTCCTCCGGGGCTCCTACGCATTTTTCCGCTTTTGCAGGGGAAATATTGGTCCTCAAATTGCGTTGTTGGCCCGTGGTTTACAGCAGCAGCAGCAGCAGCTCCCGTCGGATACTTCCACAGTCTGTATTTCACATGTGCGCTCCTGCGCGGACCCTCAGCTTCGATGCCATAATCGCGCTTTCGCGTCCCCAAGACTCAGGAGTCATGCTCTCGCTGTGCACTTTCTCGCGATGTACATGGGAATCGCGCTGTCGTTCGAAACTGCCTTGCGATTCGTGTTGGATTGACGCCTCAGCGATCCGCCAGCCCGACCGGGCCGACTGGGCGCCCAGCCGACCCGACCCGCCCCTCTGGTTATGTCATGTGTTTTCCTGCTCCTAACCCGCCACCTGCAAATCTCTCTCTCGTGCTCCATTCTTCTCCCTCCCCCTTTGTGTCTTCCCTCCTAACTTCCCCTGCTTCAGCGGCTGCGCCAACCATGCGCGGCAGGCAGGGAAGATCTACCCCCAAGGGGGTACGATCGACAACGAAGGGGGCGGGTATCGAGGGTGTCGGATTCACGTGTGATATGGCATGCGAGCAGATGAGGGCGAACATTGTTGACATGATTTTTGTTGTTGCGTTGTTGCGCTGTGGTTGTCGTCGCCCTCGCCCGCGGCCCGCCCCGCGACCCACCCCGCTGCCCACCTCGCGACCCACTCGCGACCCACTCGCAGTGCTTTGACGAAAGCGGCGCCAACGGCGGGTTTCTTCAGAGCCTCGCTGCCACTCTTGTCCGCAACTGCGGGGTGTTACTTACGGATGTGCTCGGGCCCCAAGGGCGTCCGATGTATCCATATTTGGGGCTCAAGCGACGGGCGTCACCCCAAACGGGGGTCCGTCAGAGCACCGGATCGTGCATCATCCAGCAGGGCCGGGGTTGAACTGACCTGGGTTCGGGTCCAGGGTTTTGTAGGATCCTGCAGGACTGTGCCGGATCATGTAAAGCCTGACTGACCCAGGTCTTGATTAACCCGGGCCAGTAGATCCCCGACATGCAGTCAACCCGCACAGTAAGGATGGGCAACCTTCCCGAGGGTACGCTTTGCATCCTTGCCCATTCGGCCCGTCCTTGGCCGCTGTCAGGCCCCTGCATCCTCATCGCACATCCTTATGTTTGGATGCAACTCCTGGGAGGTCCAATTCTGATCTTGCCCTGGTCCGAAACTCGGGTGAATCTGGCTCCATCCCGCTTTACCCGGCGGATTCCCGCTGAGTCTGGCTTAATCCCGTTTCAATCCGGCTTCTCATCCCCCTTAACGCGCGGCCGGTTCCGGCGTAGCAGCCCCCCAACGGGGCTTAATTCCCCTCGATCCTTTCGACGAAAAACTCCCAGCTTGTCCTTGATCCTTTCGGAGGCTCCTCCGAGGAGGAGGAGAAGGAGGAGGAGGAGAGGGAGAGGAGAAGGAGGAGGGCTTCCCCTTGAGCCTTTCGGAGGCTTCCGAACCTCTCGCGCATCCTTATGATACGCGGGTTGGCCGTACCCACCGCGACCCCTTCCTGTCTCCGGGGCCCCATCCCTAGGGGCCCAAAACTTTGGGCCGCTGCTGCGCAGAACGCAACCCCAGACCGTTCCCGTGGTCCAGTTTGGACCTCCGTGCGTTCCCCAGACACCGCAGCGTCGTGGGACAAATCGGCGAGCGGGGAGAAAGAGAAGGAGAAGGCCTTCTCAGAAGGCCGCGGGATTTCTCAGAAGCCCTCGCGCCTTCTAAGAGTTTGTTTGTATCTTTAGGGAAGGAGCAGGCCTTCTCCTTCTCACTTCCCCCCCTTCGCTCGCCGCCACACAACGGCGGACGGCCTCTGCCGGTCATTCGCGCTCCTGGAGTCCTTGCCAGCCCCCAGATCTGTCAGAGTCGCACCACTCGGGATGAAAACTTAGTCGGTCGAGGGAGTCTAGGCCTCCTAGATGGGGTCGCCGATGCACCGCCAGTGCATCGCCGATGCATCGCCGATGCATCGGCGATGCGACGCGATGCTCCGACCGCATTTGGTTTTGCTATGGAGCACGTGACGTCCCCACACCCAAAAGCAAGGTACGTCCTGGGGCTGCGGGGGTTTGGTTTCTCGTGGAAGGTTTCTTGTGGTCGAGCCCCTACTTCATTGGTTCACGGTGCGAAGCAAATATGCGACTCCGCGGGTCTGGGGTTAGGTCGGGCATGTCCTCCTACAGGCGGATTTGTGGCGAAACACGAAACATATTCAAGCGTGCTCACAAAATATTCAGACCATCGCCCGCCAGACTATTCTTTACTCTTTCTGAGCACCCCCCACCGCATGGGGGCACATGCCCGACGGAAGCCTGGGGCATGCCCGCGCCGCGTCGGCACGGCGTCCGCGTGGCAGCGGCGGCGCGCGGGCAAGCGGAGGGCCACCTGGCGCGGGGCGGGCCTGGCCGGGCGGGAGCAGTCCCTGCCCCCGGGGGCAGCGGAGGTCTCGCGCAGGATTGGCCGATCTGCAGGCGAGGCGCTGTCCCAAGGAATCCCCTCGGCGACGGGAGGTCTTTTGCTATGTTCGGCCTCTGGGGGCCCTTGCCGGCCCTCGAGACCGTCAAAAAACGACTCGGGATGAAAAGCCAGTCCAGGGGAACGGGTCGAGACCTCCAGGGGTCGGCGTAATAACACAATCATGACGTCGGGGGTCTGGTTCATAAGGAACCCCAAAAAATGAACGAGGCCTTTTTCTTCCATAAGTTAGCCTCCGATGTCCCATCGGAAAACTGAGGAAGATCTGAGACGAGCTGTAACACAAACAAGGAACACCGGCCCCTCCCCTACGAAAAAGATTCCTTCTTCAGCGGCCCGATTTTCGCCACTTACCCATCTGTCGTTGAAACTTCAGCGACCGATTGGTACCTAGCTAGATCGGTGAGGGGGCCGAACGGTCATTCATGGTCCCTGGGGGCGTGGCGCAGAAGTGGCGTTCCGTCCGCCGGATTATGCTCGTTGTGTTGTTGTTGCGTTGTCATCTTCCTCGCCCGCGACCCGCCTGCGATCCATCCGCGATCGACTCCGTGACACAACCTCGACCCACCCGCGACCCAGCCCGCGCCAGCCCCTATCGCTCTCATTCGCAGTTGCAGGGTGTTGTGTATTTTGGGGTCCGAGGATTCCGACCTATTTCAAACGCCTTCCTATTTCTAGGGTGGAGTGGTTGTTCTTCTTTCTTCGTCTTCGCGAGAAGGCCAGATACCCAATCTACTTCCAACGCAAGCCTACTTCATATTTCTACCCGCTTCTTTCGGCCAATGGGTTCGTGTCAAAAGCCAGCGTCCACGTCTTTACGACAATAACCAGATGTACAGCTGGCAAGGGTGTTCAGAGCAGCTTTGGCTTCAGACGGGCACCCTTGTGTCTTATGTCTTCTGTTACGCTATCGTTGTTTGGGCGCCCCAGAACAAGTCCCGTCGTCCAGCGAAGGTGCTCGTGTTTTTTGGCGCACGCTCTTGTGGCCACTTGCGCGACTTAAGGGCGCACGTTCTGATTGCAGTACCCCCTCCCTCTTGGGTGCGACTGTACCTGTATCTGTCCGTCCTCACGCGTCGGACGAGTTCTTTTCTAGCATCTCACATGTTTCGCATGCTTGGCGCTACTTCGCCCATCTGCGACACGGCAGCCGCTGCAGATCCGCTGTCCGATGTCCGATGCCCTCCCCCTTTCGGGTGCTTCCTAGCGGGGGCTGATGACTCGGGGCGTGTGGATCCCATGGCCAGGGCCTGATATCTCCCAGACCTCATACTCCCGCGAATTTCTTTTCATCAGTTTTTTTACTGTTGTAGTTATTACAATTCGTCTTTTAATTTGTATTAGTGCTGCTCTCATTCGTATCACTGTTGTTGTTACTTGTTTCGTCTTCTTACTCATATGGCTACTCTTCTTCCAGTACGTCGCCCGGCGCCCCATTCGCGCGCGCACATGCCTCGGGCCATGACGCGCACCCCTCCTTCGTCCTGGCCCCTTCGGTGGGTGTCCTCGATCGGGCTCCCCCAGCTCACGTCGTGAGAAGCTGCGGCCAC